GTTACATAGAAACAGGGTTTATGGGAGTCATTTGACTTGGGTTTTCAGCTTATATAGGTTATTGAATAAATTTTTAAAAATATATTTTGAGTTAAAAGATCTCCAGAATAAAAAATTCTGTTTTCTAAAATTACTGCCCAGAAAAAGATAGTATGCATTTAGTTATAGAATTACTGACATGTTAGGTTTTCATAAATGTTATTCTTTTATAGTCATATTACTTCAGGCAGGATCATACACAGTAATTCCATACCTAGAGTTCCAGACTCTGGTCATTCATGAATGAACATGGGTTTGAAATGGGAAAAACAATCCAAATATCCATCCATAGTGAAATGTTTCAACAAATTAAGCACATTTGCTCTTCTTAATTCTACATACCCCAAACCAAACTCACTGCCATCGAGTTGATTCCAAATCATAGCCCTATCAGAAAGAGTAGAACTGCCCCCATGGGTTTCCCAAGCTGTAACTCTGGATGGGAGTAGAAAGCCTCATCTTTCTCCCATGGAGCAGCAAGTGGTTTCAAACTGCGGACTGTGTGGTAAGCAGTCCAGGGAGTAACCCACCATACCCCGTGCATCAAAGTTGTTTTATGGAGTAGAAAAAGGTAAGTAACAATGTGTGCCTGTGGTGGTGGTGGGGAGAACAGAGAATGTTCTAGAATTGTGCTTCCTCATATGAAAACTATTATCCACATGTGGCTGTTGAGCACTGAAAATGTTGCACTCGTCAGAGTTGAGAAGCACTAGAAATAGAAAATACACACTGACTTTTTCAGACTTAGAACAAAAATTGAATGCTAGCTTTCTCATGCTTCATTTTTGCATTTATTCCATGTTCAAGCAACAATAATTTAGATGTATTCATAAGACAAAATACATTAGTTAACTTTACTATTTTGTTTTTCTTTGGAAGATGTGACTCGTTGGAATTTTGAAGATTTACTACATTTCTTTAGTGCTGGTACAGGAGGCTGTGAGTCACAGTAATAGCGCTGATAGCTCCTGGGGTGGAACTTACACTCTTACATTCTTCTGGCTTAAAAAATAATAATTCTAAATTTAAAAAATGACTAATGGGCATCCAAGGAGAGTCCACATTTAGCTAGCAGTATTATACCCACGTTCACTGTTTCAGTTTTGATATAGGTCCCATGGTTCTGCGAGCTGTTCCTCTTTGAGGAAACTGGGTGAAGGAGGTACGGGAGCCCTATACTGTGTTAGCAACCTTCCTGTAAACCTAATATTGATTCCAAATTATAAGATTGAAAAATAACAATATGTGAGGAAGCAAGCTAACCAATCAGCAACCAAAAAGATGTGTCTTTTCTGTTTAGATGTTGCTCATTCAGGATCCCAACATCCTGTAAAACCATTGTCGCCAGATAGTGCCCTTGGAATTGCCCAGACAAACACATTCACTTAAAATGAGGCAGAGCGGGTAACTAAAGACGCCCTGGTGGTGTTGTGGTGTTAACTGCTCTGCTGACCACAAACAGGTTTGCTATCCAAAACCCCTGGTTGTTCTGTGGGAGAAAGATGTGGCAGCTGCTTCTATAAAGATATAGCCATGGACACCTTCTGGGGAAGTTCTACTCTGTTATATACATAAGAAGCACCTGAGGATCTATAAGGCTTAACAAATGTAGATCTTAATTCATCATATCTGGTGTGGAATGAACTGACGCATAGCCCCAACCTAGCCTAAGACGCTGATTAACTGCTTCTGAGTTGTACGACGAGGTGGCCGTGTGCATTCCATTTAGTTCAATACCCATGGGAGCCAATTACTTTCAGATAATGAAGAAGTTGCTCTGTTGCCTCGGAAAGTCCCTCCAAAACCATCTGGCAGACACATCTCACAGTTCTGAGAAAGATAACAACAAGAACATAAATGAAGTGGTGCAATCTGAGGGCACGAGATTCCAGACGTAGAAGGTGACAACCCAGAGTTCAGGGCCGCTGTTCACTGCTGACATAGCTGTAGTACTCCTTTGCATCCTCAAGTTCATACATGTTCTCTTCGATGGTGTAGATGTTCTCCTCTGAGCGAATCCCCTCTCCTACTGCATTTGCTAGCTCTAAAGGAGGGAGGTCGGCCAAAGAGAGAAGTCTGTGGAATGAGATATTGCAGTTCAGTTAGCAATTTCTGAAACAAGATTGTTGAGCAGTAAGCTTTTCTGAAGAGACCGCAGTCACAGGCAGTAGGTGATCTTTAGCTGAAATATGAGAAGGGGGAAACCATCACATTATAATTAAACTATTTGGGGAGCAGTTGATGAAATTTAATGATAATTAAATTTAGGTATAAAAATGGTACTGGGTTATCTAAGAGAATATCTATTTGCCGGACATGCAGTCTGAAGGGTTTGGGTGAATCAACAAGATGTCTGCCACATCCTTATAAATGATTCAGAAAATAATTACATAAATAAGTACAAAACCAGATAAAGCATCTCTATTAAAATGTTAAATGGCAAACTTGGGTGAAGGGTTCCAATATGCCTTGCATTGTGTTCAGTTCTTGTTTGGGCTTGAACTATTTTGAAAGACAGGATCAATAAGACTCGAGGTGAAATGTTGCCTATGCCACTTATCCACCATATGAGTTGGGCAAATTAGGTTTGTTTTGTTTTCCTTATTCATTCAAGAAATATTTTATTCATTCACTCAAGAAATATATTTTTATTCATTCAAGAACTATACAGCTATGAGAGGCAGTTGGGAATTTAGCAGTGGACAATTCACTGCCAGCTCACGGCCAGGAGGCAATGGTGACGCATCATGACCCCCTGTGGGTTTCTGAGACTGTAACTGTCTCAGACTGTAACTGTTCACAGAAGTAGAAAGTCCAGTCTTTCTCCCAAGGAGCTGCTGGTGGTTTTGCACTGCCAACCATGTGGATCATAACCACGACACCATCAGGCCTGCTTTAGCAGTGTACAAAGCACACAAAAATCCTACAAAATCCCCCACCTAGTTCACATACACACAAATCCATTTAAAACAATTCCACAAAAGTATTACTAAACGTAGTGCCTCAAGGTCTTATTCTGTTTATGTGAATAATAATGCTGCTGGAGGAACTTGTATTTCATTTATCATCAAATATGTGTCAGGGCACTAGATAAATTCCTAATTTTCTGATGAGCTTCAAATTTATAGAAAAGGATGAGATTGGTCAAATATTTTTGGGGGGGTGTTATTTTTTTATTATTTGAGGAGTTGCCTATAAATATTAGCTGATTTTAATGTTCAAGCTCTAATAACAAGAAGACTGCCATAGATAATCTGAAACCATCTATTGTTTGACAGTCTTAATGCAGACTACCTTTTGTCTTCATAATTTTAATTCATTTTCCTTAGTCTCCAATTTAGAAATTATTAGTGGTCCAGTAGCATTCAACAGACCCACCAGATCCATTGCTCTTGAGTCAATTCTGACTCCAGTTCTATCACAGTCACCCATTGCCAACTTGGCACCTGTACATAATTCTTAAGCCACATACAATTTCCAGACATTAGTGAAATCACACTTACACCTAGCATCATACATCTACCATATATATAAATGAAAACACTCTGAATCTAATTGTATCTAGTATATTGTACATGAACAAAGGAAAGATATTCAGTAAGTACATATAAAGAAGAAATAGTGACGATCACAAATCTCACTTTTGCAATTGTGTAACTGATAGGTAGAACGACCTTATTCTACTACCCATTCTGTACTACCTTTTAGTTAGAGCATCCAAGCATTCAATCTTGGGTCATGGGGTTCCTTATTTAATGGACAGTTTTTTGTTCCTTTTTTTCCCTTGAGCTATATTGCATTATACCCATGTACTGATTATCACTAAAAATTTAGAGAAAACTATGTAAGTCATGTTTTACCTACTTTGCACTTGCATACTTTGGATATGCTGTCAGGAAAGACCATTTCTTTTCTTGAGTTATATTACATTATACTCATGTACTGGTTCTCACTAAAATCCAGTAAAAAATTATATAAGCCATGCCTTCCTTACTTTGGACATGTTGTCAGGAGAAACCAGTCCCTGGGAAAGGACATCATGTTTGATAAAATACAGGGGCAGTGAAAAAGAGGAAGGCCCTCAAGGAGATGGATGGACACAGTGGCTGCAGCAATGGACTCAAGCACAGGAACCATTGTGAGGGTGGTGGGGGACCAGTCAGTGTTTCCTTCTATTGTGCATAAGTTGCTAAAGGTTGAAACCAGTCCGATGGCACTTAACAACAACAGCATGCTTATTTGAAATAGAAGTGTGTGTGTGTGCGCGCGCATGCGTGCGTGCGTGCGTGCGTGCGTG